GCTGATGGTGATCCTGGACAAATGGTGGTGTTGAATCCGCACGTGCTGAATGAGCCAGGTTACATGATGGTACTTGCTATAGAAATGGCACGGGTGACAAGCATGTTTCTTTCCAGCTCCCTCACACCAATGAGGACACGCAGGTGCATGAGATGTCAAGCAGTAGCTCGGCTTTGAGCAAAACAGACATGGTGAACGGCAGTTCGGTGCAGGTCGAAGCTCAGCCACCCACATACGCAGCTTCCCGAACTGTGGACAATCAACCAGCTGAAAAGTCCACAAAACACAAATACCGGTCGATTTGAGCTACCAACTCAGGTCGATTTGACCTGAAAGATGGCAACATGATGCAAACTGCTGGAAGCTTGTGCTGGCCGCAGAAACCCTAGAAGTCCCAAGACTGGAGGTTGGAGGTTTAAAGTTCAGCAAGTGCAGCAAGCTTCCTCGACCAATGCAGGTCCCACACCGACACTCGGCCCAGTACTGTAGGCTTCGGACCCTCAAAAGGAAGCTCCTCGACCCACCAGCAGAGGTGGGTCAGAACCCGAACGTTTGACTATCCTAGTTGGGTACTCCTGGTTTTCCGGATCCTAGTTCAGGTCACTGGCTACCTCTGCAGGCAGTTCCCACCAGTTTCCCCTTCACCTTGGCTCTCCATGGCGGGAGAGCCCATGGCGGGCGCTTCGGCCCGGGCCACGACTGTCAGGGACCGGACCGGGAGGACGGAGTTTGAGGGAGTTCGGAGGATTGGGATGAGTGCCGCACGGGCACGAGGTGATCCCGAAGGACTTCCCTGGGTGGGCCAGGTCTTTTTGGTGGATGATTTAGCAGTCTGACTACCGAAGAGCTATTGTTTGAACATGTTTGAACTAAGGGCTGGAAAACATGACAAAGCACCCAAGGCGGACACCCAAGGGTCTTGAACACCCAAGGCGGTTGTTATGTTCCCTGCATGTTCCCTGCAGGGTGAATCCCCAAACTGAGGGAGATGTTTTTGTGTGATCTTTTCCCGTTACAGCTCAGCTTTCGATCTCGACAGATCGCCTGCAGTTGTTTCACATGCGATGAGCTTTGATGATGTTCTTTGGACAGTTTTTGGATGCCAAAGTCTCTTTTGAGTTTCAGGGCTTTTGGATGGTTCTGGAGGTCACAACGACCTTTTGTGCACAGGGTTTTCGGGTTGTCAGAGAGGGTTCTTGTGAATGGCTTTGAAAGGTGTTGTATTAGTCAGCAGGATGCCAAGAGTTGGAACATGTTCAGGGCTGTGCCTTTGCTTTGGACCTGCGCCTTCCCGATTGACCTCTATCTAGAGAAAACCACTGAAAGAAACAAGCTTATAAGGGCACTGAAATGGTGGGTGGCATCACTGTCCACAGGTGCTGCAGCATGTTGAGAATCGCTTCACCTTTCACGGCTTGGCTGAAAGCTTGCCGAAGCGCACGGGGCTGACATGAAGCCCGAGCCAACACTGAACTCCAACAAGCTAGGCAGCTAGGCAATCAATCAGTGAGATGCTCGCTCTGACCAGAATTGCAAAGATGTTGGGCCTATGGGTATTTGACACATCCAAACATGAAAAACATATAACAGCCAGCGTCACAAGCAAGAAGGAGGACAGTGCTGTTCAGCAGCAGGCTGCCATTGTCCTTTCCTGGCATCCAGTTCCAAGCAAATTTTTGGCCATGGGGAGTGATGAAGACTTGCTTCCTGCTGACATCAAGCAGCTGGGCTGTCCTGCCAGGTTCGAGTCACTTTCTCTCGCTCCGGGTGGCAAAGGACCTACCTACCCAGTCAGTGGATCACCTTGAACCGGCCTCTCAACCAACCAAAACCGAAGGGGTGGAAAATACCATACGAATAGGTGGACAATGCGAACCCCGAACCCCGTAGTTTTCCAAAAGTCTTTGAGGAGCCCGGTGGCTTCTCCCAAAGCAAATCCGTCCCGTATACAGGCCCTGGTGCAGGATCCAAGCGTTTGAGAGATTCTGTTGAGTGGATTGGTGTCCTCAATCTAGCTGTCCTCAGGAGCGCTCGCGACGGGAAGAGAGGGTCGCTACAGAGGAAACAACACCCACTGAAACGACAGGGGCCTCAACTCGGAAGAGACCACGGGAGGAAACTGACAAGCCCGACAGCGAGGACCTCTAGGAGTCAATGACTGGCATCCAGGCAGAGGAGAGGATGACCATCCACTCATGGCGACGGCTCACACATGCAGGCGAATCTGTATCGAGGCACTAACCTCTTCAGTTCGGGACTTTTTTGGGGGGTGAGTCCCATCCAATGGCCATTTCCAGGCCTGTTGCTGACCTCAAACCTGGGAATGAACAGGAACCTGGTGTATACTGTAATTGTATATAATTTCTATAATTTTGTATCATTAACTTCCTTTGAATACTGACGGAACGGAACCGTCAAGGTGATGCGTACCTTGAACCTTCACCTGGTTTTTCTTAGAGTTATTTGTCCTTTTCATAACTTGGTAAATCCCCTGGCATGGGGAGCTTTTTTACATTTTGTTCAAAGTTCCTAAGCCTAAGGTCCTAAAAGCAAATCCACGAAATCCAAGTTCAGGTGTCTTTTTGTTTTGCTTCACGATCGATTGCACCCCCTGCAGCCGACCAAGGAAAGAGATCCTGAAGAAGGTGAACTTCGTCCGCCGGCAGCCCAAAAAGGGGGATGAGGCGCGGCACGTGCGGTGACACGAAAACACGCGGAAAACACGGGGTGAGTGCGGAGGTTTTGGATGAAATTCCATGATTGGTTGAAGGGAAGGCTTGACGGTCTACATACAGGAAACCCATGTTTTTGTTGGTTTTATAACTGTGGTTTCCTCTTTTTCCCTAAGCCCTAAGCCAATCCATTTGCACCTAGTTTGGCATTGCTGCACCGTAGATTCGATGTGCCAGGGATTGACACTCGGATCATGGAAGTGGCAAATGGTTCCGGACCATTTTCCTGTACAAGCAGATGGTGGTGCACTCCACTTCCGTGACGATTTCAAGGATAATCAAGGGGTGTACCTCTAGACAGGCACAGACAGGTACAGACAGGCAAGAGTGGCTACTTAGACATCAAAAGGACATGAGAGTGAGTAAACATGCGTTTTGTGATGTGGATCATCGAACCTGTTCGGGGATATGACATGTTTATCCTGCAGACTGCAGATTAATTTCTTATATATAGCAGTGCTACTGAGTTTTCAAGGTCAGCAGAACCATGTCATGAATCCATACCCCAAATCCTTCTTCCCAGAGCCTGCTGCCACCCCCTTGTCAGCAGCGAGCCTTCTATAGGTGGAGATTCACTACACTGCCTCATTAGATGGAGCCTTGCTGGATGCTGAGCTGAATTATGGAATGATGATGAATGATGTGTTCCCTGCAGATTGAATCTGGGAAGACTTCGAATGAGTGGACTGCTTGCAGCCGGCTTCTAGGGGCTTGACGACCAATCGAAACCCACTTGAAAACACACGAGACCAAATCAACCGCTTTCAGCTCACGTCTCTCTTTCACATCAAGTCACGTTTCTCCTCGTGATTGCACAAACCGAACTGCCATTGGCGGAGGACACCTCTTGCAATGGCCCACCCATTAGCTTCACCCTGGGCATGGGCAGCGTCATGGAAGCTTGGGATCGCATCGTGGCCACCATGCGCAAGGCGAGCGGCAGCGAGAAGCAGGTCTAGCGTGACCCACCATTGTTGCAATATGTTTCAATGGTCCTTGCAAAACAACTCATTGTTTGACCAAGGGTTTTACACTACAAAGCCAGGTCAACCATTCTTTTAATGGTCTTTGAAGGCTAGCGGCTAGGGTATATGTTACATGTTGGCTTGTTGGTAGCTGGAAGAATTTCAGCTGGAGCTGTTGGGGCCCATAATGGCCCATAGCATTCTCATATAAACACAAACATCCTCAGAATGAAGGTGAATGCATGGACACACCATTAACATGTTCATTTTTGTATATCAATATATCTTATTTATCTTCCGCTGCTTCCAATTTGTGGGACGCGTTTTTCATGAACGTCCAGTCACAAAAACGACCACGTGTGGTTTTGACGTGAAAATCTCAGGGCGAGATCGCCCGCTTCACAGTGCCAGAGATGTACCTGTCCGGCGGCCCATCCCAGCACCGTGCCAAGTGAGACCGTCCCGGCAGAATGGTCCCAGATATTTTTGTTCATGAGGTGAAGGTGGAGTCTGATTCTGAGATTAATGGAGGACATATCAGAAAGCAAAGCTATTTAATTAATAGATATTAATAGTGTTTACCAAAATCTATCAAAATTTATGGGTGCTCCTGGCATGAGAAAGGATGTCGTTCTTTGTTGTGTAATTTTCCTGGAATTTATGTTTGCCGACTTCAGTTTTTGCATCCTTGCCATCCTGATCCTGGTTTTGCTGATCTTGTGGGAATCCATTGACTGAGCCTGCATGTCATGCTTGGTTTGACCCTACACAGGTTGTTGAATAGACAATTTTGCTACACACTGCCATTTGCATACCTGGACCCTTCACCTATGCAACATGTCTGGCGAACTTGGCTGGACATGCTGCAGAGTTGGAAGATCCAGGTCGTCGAAATGGGTCAGTTCGCTTGCGAAGGTAGCGGAATAGATCCGTTCCCTACTGATTTTGCCAGGACACATGCTCTTTTGGTGGCGCTTGGTGGCCTAATTAAACATATTGTGGTTCCCAAATAGATAGTGGCACGGCACGGTGTCCAATAGACTATTAGATATTCTTATACGGATCTACTTGGTTCAGGTCTAGTTAGTTGGGGGTCTATTGTATAATGATCTCATATTTCCAGGTGTGCCTGATTACTGTAGTCCTAATTAAACATATATAGCTATAGCTATAGTACAAAGGTGTGGTGTTTGTTGTTTTGCCCAAGGTCCCGAATACGCGTGCGCTGGCCTTTTCTTTGCACTGAATACATCCAAGGTATTTGGCCAAGTTGCCGGATGATGGGCAAGAGGTCCGTTACGAGATGGAATTGGTGCAAGTCGTGGGCATCCGCGACCTCTTTGGCGCCTACTCCTTTGTGGGCTTATAGGGCGGTTTGTGTGTAGTGAATGCGTGGGTGACCGGGTGGTGAGTGATGGTTTCAGGTGAACCTGTACTTAGGATGCTTGAGCCCATGTTAAAGTAATGTAGACTCGTGATTAACAAAAACGCTCCCTCATATGTCTGATTGAACAACCTATCTCCATTTGGGTGGCTGGGTAGCTGTTGAGTCTGTCCAATCCTTATCTGTAACAGTCAGTAAACAAGGAAATCACTACCCTGGGAGTCAAAGACCATTAAAACAATGGTTGACCTGGTTTTTGTATTGTAAAATCCTTAGTTGATTGGGTAAAGCCTATTACTGTAAATTAATGGTTGTTGGAAGCCTAGGGACTATGATTGAACTAAGGCTTGCCACCTAACCATCATCCACTGGGTCCTGGTCTCGGATAGACCCAAGGTGGCTTGTATATGAGTTGACCGTGTCCTACATTCACGGGGTTGAAATCACCAACCCCAATAAGACTGGGTCGACTTCATAGACTCGCGTTCGCTCGCGTTCGCTCGCCATGGACGGGGCTCGTGTGATTGCCCCGTTTGGATGGCCCCTCGATTCAGCGAACGAAATGCATCGTTAGGATATGGCCGGTGCTTTCCGGCCGTATCCTTGTCATACCTAGATCCTCCAACTGTGATAGATATCTAGGCCGTTTCATACATAAATAACAGCCAAAAGGCAGACATTTGGCATTGTTGGAAGATCATTCAAGTAAGATTTGGTGAAGCCATTCCATGATCTACGCCGACGCAAGCAACTTAACGCGCAAGTGTGTTATGCCACTTTGGCGTATTCTCTGGGCGGCGTTCGATGATCAAAACTGCTGAGGGCTCTAGGCCTGCCCATGTTTTTCTCCATTCTTTTCACGCCTCTTTGTGCTCATGTGCAGTATCTTCCGCAGTATCCACCATACAGTACCGAGTACCAACCCGGCACCGGGTCAGGTACTGACTATAGAAGTCCCAGGCGCTCCATGGGACTGTCATATATGGCTACATTGGGGTGGTTTCAGGGGTCAATGTAGGCATATATGGCATACATGGAGCATTTGGGAGTGATTTGTCCACATGTACTTCTCGTGTTGTTCCATCGACCACTCGACGTCCTTCTCGTTGCGTGTGAGGCGATGGCAGCGTCATTGAGAGAATCCATGATGATGGTGAAGAGTATGGCATTTCTCCCAAGGCGGGCGATGAACTTCAGATCAACTACGAGCTCAGCTTCTCGGGCGAAGTTGGATGAAGTTGGTTGATACCAGTTTTATTGTTTGCATGGGGACATACTGAGAATATGTTGAGATGAATCAAAAAAGTCGACCGTGCGGTATTTTGTGTTCTTTTCAGTTTTATACCTTTTGTGTGTGTGGTTTCCTTCCGGAGTCTATGTCAACTACGGGATCATCTTGCTTGCATGACATTAAAACTGTTGATGTCCCCACTGAAAAGGCTTTCTTGTTTTCCTGTCGGGTTGTCCGGCGAAGGTTCAAAAGAACGTCGGTGCGGAGGCGACCAGGGTCGGCCCAGATTACACCCCGAAGGGTGTCAGTGCCGGGGTCTTCCATGGTGTTTCAAGTGCTTCATGTCAACTGCTGCGACTTCCGGGGGGGAGCGTAGCTGCTGCGGGCTCGCCGGTATGTCGGAAGTATATAGGTTGGGAGGACCCCCCCCAAGTGGACAAGGTGAACATGGCAGGGGGGTTCTTGAAGCCTTAAAGTAAATGGATTGACTCAAGGGAGGAAACATCAGGAAACCCATGGATTTCATTTGCAGTCAGGAACATGGCAGGGTTTCCCTCCAGCTGTTCCCTTTCAACGAGGTTGAACCCTCCTTGCTCTTGGCGCAACAAGGCTTGAAGAGCGGGAAGATCTTGGACTCTCGGCCTGGCATGGATTTCAGGACCGCCAAGGGTCTGGCGGAACGTCTCGGTCCGGCCGTCCAACGAGCAGGTTCTAAGGTCGATGGATCTTGGGTTTGACTGGTCGTGGTGGGTGTTTGGTTCTTTTTGTCGGGTCAGCGCGACCAGTGCACGGGTGCAACTACTTCACCATGAGAAAAGCTGGTGACATGGATGGACTTCCACCGCCTCATGGACGCGGAGGTTCCCTGGGGAAGGCCGAAGTCCGTCCACGAGTGCCTGGAAGCCATGGTTACGTCTATACTCAGAAGTGAGGAGTTCATCCCAACAGAGGTTGAAGGACCCTATATCCCATAGGTATCGCAGTAGGGTCCTATAAGGTCACTTAACCTCTCTTGGTCATCACTTTCGTTGACTTCGGTATATGCCATAGACTCCTTTGGACCTTCCTTCGTTTTTCTTCTCCGAAGCTGGACTTCGCTCGTCCAAGATATCCCTGTCTTCCATGGCTCAGCCTTCTTCCCGGACTTTGGGCGGGAACGTCCGGTCATGGCTGGGGACGACTCGACTGGGACCCTCGGAAAAGAAAAAACAACTACCAGGACCCACTGTCGGGGTGGTGGATGGACACCCCGAATCACCTCTAAGGGGCTATCAATGGAAGCCCAGTGCTGGGTGACACGAGCCTAGTGCTGGGTGCGATGGGGAAGTCTGAAGTGTCAGGTTTGGACGGATCGGGTGATTGTTCGTTTCCCTGTAGTTGAATCCCCTTGGCATGGGGAGTAGGTCTTTGTCCTTTTTCCCAATGAATAGACGGGATGATGGATTAAGTCCCAGTGGGTCCAGTCACGACTCTAGGAGGGCTGTAAATTGGAATGGTTTGACTATAGGCCTAGGGGGGCCTGATTTCAGGAAATCCCTTTACATCATACCGACGTACCGTATGGTCTGGGCAATGGTGGGATCATTGATCTACTATGCACGCAGGCACTTCACACCCAACCCAGCCCTTTTTGGGCCCTTGGCAGGATGGTGAGCCATGCCGCCAATGGGGTGCTGTGCAGCAAGGCCGGGGTGAGCTCGCTTTCACCAATCACAGTGAGCCCATCGGGAGTCCAATGAAGAGGTCAGGAACCCACCTTTTTCAGCTTGGTGATAACACTAAAGCCGGGTCTTCCGGATCGGATGATGGTCTTCCGGATCGGATGTGGGTGGACCCCCATGGGATGGGAGTCGCCTCCGGTTCCTGGACAGATCCAAGCTAGTCAAGACCAGGCAGCCGAGACGGACCCACTAGTGACCAGTTGGCAGTTCATGGCGCGGCCGCCCCAGAACATCACCTCTCCTGGTTTTGCTGCTATGAGGTGGATGTGTTTATGTTCCCATGATTTTCTGCTTCCAGGTTTCTGAATCAGCAAGAGCATCACTTCTAAGGCCATCCAGAAGAGCATTGAGACCTTCAAGCTCAACAGCTGTGGAACGTTGGTGTGTCGTTCGGAGTACATCCGCAAGGAGGGCGATGGCGGATTTGAGATCACAGAGGTGTCTTGGCGAAGTTGGGTGTTGTTCTTAAAGTCCATGGCCTGGAGCCATCTGGAGCCTCATGGCCAGAGTGCTCAGCTTGTAGCCAGGGCTTTTGGATGTCATTGCCCGTCAAACATGTAGAAGTTTTGTGGACCTGAGCTAGGACCCTGTAGTGGTACATATGGGATGGGCCATAGGGCTGCTCAACCTCTCGGATGTTGCAAGTCGAGAGGATTCAGCCTTCATCTCGCCAGACATCAAGGAAGAACTCGACACCATGGAGTGGACACCATGGTGGATATGTAGGAAGACCCTCCCAGTCCTTGGCACGTTCTGTGTTCGGATCGGAAATCCTAAGGACGTCCTCATCAAGATTCAGCTCTTGCAGATTTATGAATTTGAGGCTGGAGGGAACTTGTAACAGCGACTTGTAACAGAGACAGGCTGACATAGGCATTTTGCGGCTAGATGTTGTTCAAGGGTGGAAGCATGGATAGAGACCTCAGAGAAGCATAGGCGTGCTGGCGTGTGGACAACAAGACAGATTTGCACAGTGGCTGGTTTTAGGGAGCATGACAAATTATCCAGCACAGTGAGATGTTGGCACGGTACAAGCAAACATGACAAGAAGCGGCAGCTCTCAGTTGGCAGCCGAACTTCTTTGCATGAAAACTGGCTCAGGCTGCGTCGGCTTGGACGGTCAAGTGTCTTTTGTAGCGAAGCTTTCAGTCAAATATAGACCTGAGAAGTGGACTAGCTGTTCCACGGAAAGCATGGATACGATTGCATCTCTGCGCGAGGATTGTGGAAAAAAGGCCTTTTGGGAAGAGGGCAGCCTGGCTTGCAGGAGGGCTTAAGGACTGGAAGAGGGCTGCTCGTGGCGGAAGAGATCTTGATCGAGAAATGGTGGAGGATTTGAAAGAACCCAGACACTCCATGTTTGGCATATTTACCTACATTGGGGTGGTTTTGGGGGTCAATGTAGGTATATATGGCATACATGGAGTGTCTGGGGAAGATCGGGTTTTTCGTGGGTTTTCCGTGGAGATCGGGCTTTGAGGGGACATATACCCATACACGACCCGTGGGACTGCCTGGCCGGACTGCCGCCCCAGACAGACCCCCAGTCAACCACCCCTGGCCTGATCGGCAGTCCTATGGCAGTCCCATGGAGTGTATGGGATAGCCACCGGGTCGTATGTGCCCTGGATGGCTGGTGCTTCACTGACCAAGCGGCATGGGGAAGATGGTGATGTTGGCCTAGGTCGGCTCCGTGACCCCCGACCCTTCTCCCCGGTCCAAAAGCTTAGAGTTGGAAGCCCTAAGACATTCCGTGATCCCGCACCGCCCTTTTCCCGGATCCAGATGGTCTTTCATTTGGATCGGATCCAGGTGACGGTCCAATGTCTTTCTTTGAGTGGAACAATGGATCCGTAACACGAAAAAAGCAGGTCTTTGATGTATCTTCGACTGGAGAAGAACAGGTGATGGTGTTGGTTCGACTGTTCGCGCCCATTTTCCAAGGACTGGTCTTGAAGAAAGCCATCCAGCCTCAAAGGTGTCGCCTTTGCCCAGGTCGCGGTGGCACACGGTCGGATGTTTGTTCGATGTGGCGAGTTCGACCTGCTTTGCTTTAGGGGATTTGGGGGTTTATGGGGTGTGGTAGGTTGGCCATGATTGGCCGGTGTTTTTTTTTTCTGATCAGGTGGAGTTTGTTTCGTTTCCTGGACTGGATCAATCCCCTGGCATGGGACATGTTTCTTTCTCCAAGGTTCCTCAAGCAAATCCAAGTTGGTGGGACTGGTGGGGGGGGGGCGGAGGGGTGTTCGAGGCTGCAGAATGGGGAGACTCAGATCATCTTATGATGTCCAATAGGCTTTTCTCACGGCAAAAATGGCTCAATGTTATTCAAGCTTTGGCAGCTTGGGGGTTTCCCACATTTCAGCTTCCAAGAGCGGTTGGGACAATTTTTGTGATTTTTGTTGGACCCTGTGGTACATGTGGGCGATGCATAGGGCTGCTCAACCTCTCCAGGTTGCCACCTTGTCCCATCTCCAAACCTCTGGACCTTGGCGGCTCCACCTGGCCAGAGAACCGGAGGGGACCTTCGATCGAACCCGTCCACCGGCTCCAGGCTTCGATGGCACCTGGTGCAAAGTGAAGCTCCTCAGCGCGAAGCTGGCAGAGGATTTCCGGTGACACATGGGCGAGACGCACCTGCGCCGGGATGGTTGACTGGAAATTGAGTTGTGTTCTTTGTTCTGGTCATGTGGACCCTTGATTACTATTTCAAGCCCCTCAAGCCTATATAAAGAGGTTTTACAATCCATGTAATCAAGAGATATCAAGAGTACACAGTTGGTTTTCGATATTTACACGAAAGGGGAGTTTCATGTTCATGTTGCGAAGGGATCCTCATTCATGTGTTGCATGCTGTTGACATTCAGTAGCCTATTGTGTTGGTGGTATGTTCTGTAGGCAATTTGGATCGCGAGGCATGCAAGTGTGCAAAAAACCTACCCAGTAGCGTTCCAGAGACCAAAAAGACCACTTGCAAATACAAAAGAACATCTGGTACCTGGTCGTCGGGCCTTTTTGACCCCACTTTAGCTCCACATACTAGGTAAGTCTTTAGGCTTTAGATTGAGCAATGGGCTGGACAGACGACTGGGATGAGCCTGGAATCCCATCCTGGTTGCTTTTCAGGAGGAGCTCGTACAAGAGGAGGAGGAGATTGAGACCACCGTGGGGAAAGGTGAGCTTTGCTCGGGGCCCTGTCATGCCCGGTGCGCCCGAAATGGTGCTCAGAGGTGTTGGGTCAATATGGGTCATCCAAAAAGAACAATGGATACAAGATGGTCCGTGGTAGAATATGGCATCTCTTTGGGTGAGTCCAGGATTTATATATAATAATTATATATTTTAGTTAGAAATGCCATGTGTGTCTTTCCGATGGCTCGTCTTCTTGGAACGCCTTCCAACATCCATGAGATGTGATGTTTTGATATGTTTGTTTAATGATTGTTTCCTGGTTTCCTTATCCTCAGGTTCGGTGGTTAGACCCCCCCTGGCACCCACCCCAACCACCGAACCTCAGGAGGTGGTCCAGGAGCCCTAGGGTTATATCACTTGGTGTTGCTTTTCTAAGGTGCTGTGTCTTTTCCCGCTTTCCTGGCTGCATCCCGTGCGTTTCACAGGCGACGCCCTGGAGGCCACCTGCGCAGCCATGCGGAAAGGAGTGAGCCGGTTTGGGGGTTCTGCATGGCTCGGGCCGGGTGGAAGGAGGAGGAGTTGGTGGGGCTGTTCCGATGAAAAAAGACCTGTAACAGTCAGGTGTCACAAGAGTCACAAGAGTCACCCTATTGAATATATGTAAGTGATGTTTTGAACTAAGGCCTGCAACCTAACCATCATCGTTCACTGATACTGGTAGTAGACCCAAATGATGCGTAGGTGCTGATCAGATTCACTAAAGAGGCACACTCTCGGGAAGAATCATGGAAGTGGAGTGGAAAACCACCACCTGGTCTGGTATTCGACACATGGTCCAAGAGGCCATTCCTTTTCCACTTGATTATTCCGGAGAGTGTGAGTCGGACAGGTACAAGGTATGCAAGAGAATGTAGACGCTTGATGATACTTCACCCCCCAAGCCTTGGCAGTCTTTACAATCAATGTTTTGCATCCAGGACCTTCAGTACGTGACCAGCCTTGAGATCCTAGTGGCTGAGGTCACTTAGAATCGTCCCTAAAGAGGTCACGGTCACAAAGACTCCAAAAAGGTCACGTAGCGAAGGTCCTCGATGTTGATTTGTTTCCCCAGGGCTCCAAGTACCTCCTCAGAAGGTATTTGGACCCTCCTGGCACCCTCCCCAAACATCCCCAGACACCTTGTAAGGAGGTACGACTGGAGCCCTAGGGGTTGTGTTTGTGTTGATTGGCCGAAGCATCTTCGTTTGACGGATCTTCATTCACCAAGTTTCGCCGCGCGCAGCGTGGCACACGACCCGTCGTGTGACCACGTGCCTCGTTTTGGGGAGGTTCACGTCACGCGATTCGTTTTGGGTGTTGTTAAGGTGATGTGCTCAACTGTGGAAGAGGTTGAAGGACCTGAACGTTCGGACCCTGTAATGGTACATATGGGATGGGCTATAGCACTGTTCAACCTCTCTTGGGACAATTTAAGATGTTTAGGAGATCTTAATACCCAGACACTCCATGTATAGCATATTTACCTACATTGGGGTGGTTTTAGGGGTCAATGTATATAGGTAGATATGCCATACATGGAGTGTTTGGGATAGAAGTTCTTTTGGGAAGACAGGAGGTGATGACACCGGCGAATCCCATGCCGGGACATTGGACATTCATTTGTGTTGTCATCAGTTGCCCACCGGAAAATTTGCACACTTTGGTTGGAGTCTCGAATGCTTCGTGCTGGAAATTGTGGTGACTCATATATGACTACTCATTAAATATTTTGGGTTTGTCCTATTATCTGTAGCAGTCAGCAACCAATGATCACTATGTATTTATATGTTTGCACAAGGCCTGCAACCTAACCATCATCATCCACTGGGCCCTGCTGGTAGGACAGACCCAATTCATATCATTATCAGACCCGACGCCTGCGGGCCTCCTTTTGCGGCATCCGTCGCGGCATCGATTTCGCATCCAGCTCTTTGCCTGGATGCGTCCCCTTCACCTGGCGAGCTTCCTCCTTGCCCACCAAGAGAGGTAGCCAGTGACCGTGACTGTAGGACCCGGAACACCTGAGGTACCAGACTATCCCATGTCGAAGGGCGTCGGGTCCTGACCCACCTCTGTTGCCCAGGAGAGGTCTCCTTGGTCACTGTCAAGGACCTGACGCTGCTCACGCCGGGCAAGCCAGACCTCAAGGCCGGTCCGGTGCTTGGCCGGTCGGAGTCCTGAAAGGAGGCACATCGGTGGGAGTGCAGACCCGAAGGAGGTGGTCCCGTTGACGCGGTGGTGAGCTGCCCCCAAAACAACACCTGTGACCCTCTGACGAACACATCACATGGTTACGTGGATGGCATGGTCCTTTGGAAGACTACTTTCCTTTGCCAACAAGGGGTGAACTCCGCTTCCATGTTAGTGAGTCAGAGTGTATTTTGCAGGGTGGATGTCTGAATTTCCGCGGATTGGGTCTGGGTGAATCTCCTATAGCCATGGGGGAAGATGTTGTTTCTCGGTTCCTTGAGCAAATCCAAGAACAGCTGGAGGTACACGCCGAACACATCACATTTGAAGTATATTGATGTGGAAGGAACCTCTCACGTGGTGGAGTTGTTTGAGGAATATGCAGCACCATGTGCTTGGTGTATGTCAGTGTTACACTCCCTGAAATAATCACGGAAGTGGAACCCCCCTATTTGTAGAGGAAAACATCGTTTTAGCAAGGGACCGACCATGCCATCCACTGCCATGGGCGATGTGTTTGTGGGGGTGTCGGGGTCCCAAGTTAACACGGTTCACGTCTTAAAACGTTCGCATCTTAACCCCTGCTTGTGTGTGCGCGTCTGTTTTGTGGGGGACGTTCAATCTCTTGCAGAGGAAGTCAAGCTTCAACCAAGAAAAGCCTTAGCCCCTGCAATGGCTCCTGGCGCACCATTGCATGTGTTTGCGTTCTTTTGACCGAACGACCAACGACCAATCCATTGTTTGACTGATCAGTTCAGACTACAACAGCGTCAACGGGTCAGTTTCCCTCTTCCATCGTCTCCCGGCGGAGGAACCCCAAGGCGGCTCGGGATGCTCCAGCAGACGATCGATCCGATTCGCTGGGTGATGGTGGCAGGTGCCGGAGGGCGCCTCCGGGCCCATCGTCTTCAAGCTGGAGATGGTGGATTTCGGCCTCGTGGCGGTCCAGGTGGTTGGGCAAGGGGCGGTCCATGTCGCTCGTGTCCCCAGGACGACACTGGGTGGAGTGTAGCCGTGCACCATGCTGAAGTGGTTTTAGAATGTTTTAGGCCTTTTTCAAGTCCAGAGGCTTTTGCTCCAAATTCTGAGAGCTTCAATTACATCTTGACTATATATGCACATGACTATGTGCAACTTGGTCTCCTTCAGGCTGCCTTTCCAGGCCTACATGTTTGACCAAATTCAATCTCAGGACCCTCTACGAAGATCCGCGAATGGAATATCCGGAATCAGAAGGAACATGAGGGAACTACTCAGTACTCCATACAAGGGGATCTCCAGGCAGGACACCAGGTGAGAGATTGCTTTGGGACCTCCATGAAACCATGACCATACCATTAAAATCGAAGACCAGTGTTTTAACGTGGTTGACCTAGTGTTGCAGTATAAAATCCAATCTATGGTTGCTCTGGATTCGGCCCATGTTATTACAGCAATGGTGCTTTGTGTCGCTCCACAACATCGGGGTTTCCGCCTGCACCGAACACCGGAAACGGCCTAAGCCGGCTTAGGCAGCCCTGGCCCGGAAGAGGGTCCATCCGAGAACTTGCTCCTCTTGAACTTGGCCAAGGATGTCAAGGCCAAAGGCCAGCCGGGCGATTGGGCGGCTTAGCGGATTGATGCTGATTTTCCCCGATATGGGAAGGAAGATGTGTTTCTGTCTTTATCATTTATATATTACCTATTCCCGGAGATGTGGACCGTTGTCTTTTTCAGAGCAGGGTTCCAGGTGGATGACGTAGACGTGTTGTCCTCCAGAACTCCTGACGTCCATCCGGCCATGAAGTTTTTTTCCCCTACCAGCGCCATGTTGGTCAACAGTACCAAACATGACATAGGTTCTTGATCGCCGTGAATGGCTGAAACAAACAACCGCAGGCGCATGCTGTATCCGTATCCAAAACTCACTGCAGTCTTAATGTTTCATCCTCACCCAGCTTTACTAAATCTTCCCTTGTCTGCAAACAACAACATGTGTTTACATTGTAACATATACATTGAAAAGCCAATTGGTCCGGCCCATAGAAAATCTGAACAGTTAGTTACTTGCCTGCTTGCATCATTTATAGCTTTGTCACCTTGCAAGACTTTGAATCTAAATCTCCATTGTTGTTTGATGCATAATATGTATGACATATTACATATTGTAGACCTAATAAAATTGGGGTGCCGGTAGAGACAAAAACAACCGAAATTCTCAAATTGTAGCATCTCACTCGGCAGTTTAATGCTCAGCCCTTTAAGTTGACAGTTAAACTCCGGAACTCTTTTTTAAACGAACATCTTACACAAAGAATCAGATTGAATCGAATTCAATAAAGGTTCTTACAAAAGACTTAGCTGGCTCCCTCATATCTCCTCCGGACCCGTGTCTACTGCTGTTTTGTCGCCTTTGTTTGCAAGCTCCCTGGTCCTGAGCTAAACACAGCTTACGAGCATCTTGGACTGCAGGACTGCTTCCTATGAACCCTCATATATAGCTCATGCCAGTAATATATGTATGTGTTATATATGTAGAGTATGCGGACCGCTTGCACTTATTGATCAAACATCAATTCTCTCAGCGCCTCGCCTTAACAAGCTGGGCGGGTCCACGCCTTCCGCCGTTGTGGTTCCCATCCGCGTCTTCCGCCTGGCAGGCTCGGAGCATTTCAAGTTGGGGCGATTCCGTTTGGCACAGGAGTGTGAACTTGTGAGCGGTCCAGCGGTCTGTTCCGGTGCCAAACTTGCAGGATGCGTGGTGCAGCTCGAGTAGGGACTTCGATACCTGGACCTCCTGGTGCGATCTTCTTTCTTCCCCTGGAACTTCCATCACACAACAGATCCCGAAATTGCCCGACAGATGGTGGATTCCGCCCTGAACACCGGTCTCCGAATCGGTGAGACCCGTCCGGCCGTGAACGTTCGTTCGGCGCGGATGGACCACGATTCCCTCCAAGCCCTTCGTCATGTTCCCGGATTTTGATGGGTGCTGGGGCAGAACAAGGTCAGGAGAGCCACCCCGCCGAAGGGGTCGGAGCAGGTAGGAGCAGGTCCCAGCAGGTTTGCCGACCTGCGAAACCAATGGGCAGGAGCGGTACTCGCGGGTGATCCAGCTGCTCCCCAAGTATCGCAAGCCCTTGGGCGCCACCACGAACACCGAGGCGCGCTGCTGGCCCACTTCCAGTTAGTGCAGCTGGCCCCTGCTGCGGGGGTGGGAGCTAGAAGAAAAACCGGTTCCGCCCCCAAGCGGATTTTGTGTGATGTTGTTGGGTTCTTCGTAGAGAATCCAGAACCTAATTTTCCTCCATGATGATTTCTGGATTTTCCATGTAATGGGTCAATTCCATGTAAATCTTTGGGTGAATCTGTCTTTTTCCAGGCTTCCAGGCCAATCCCGCCCAATCCCGGTCTCCGCACATCTCTCGAACGGTCGCCATCTCACGTCTCTCTCTTCGTCTCGGTTCCTCCGTTCCTCCGTTCCTGACCGAACCCACGCGGTTCGATCTGTGGGGGTCGAGAACTGCTGCTGCTGCAGGTCTTCACAGAGTGGGTCGAGAAGAAGACGGCGGAGGAGCTGAAGCACAGCAGCCGCCTGAACTTGGCGGCCTGTGTACCTCGCAACCGGTCGGGGCGAGTCCGGAGAGAGGAGGAAGGAAAGAGGGCGCGGCCGCCAGGGCCGAGATCAGAATGTGACCCAGACCATATATCATATGTGGCAGGATTAATGTGGCATATTTGCCATCCTACAAACCATGGAGAAGGGGTCAATGTGGGAATAGAATGGCAGTCCCATGTGCATGGTCGTGTCTACTGTGCTTTTTCACGCGCGGTCGGTCGACCATGTGCATACTACCACGCGAGCGACCAGTGTTGAGCTTTTGCGGTTTGGACGGAGGTGTGGTGTTTAGCCACCCCAGAGCTGCTTGGGGAAACGAGACTTATAAGAGAGCTGTTTTCAGAAGCCGGGTGATGCGAACTCCTTCCAAACCCTCCTTCCAGGACGACGTGAACCATACGTGAACCATGGGAGAGGTACCTGGATTTTCAGCACCATGCGAGATGTCTCGGTCCTATGGCGTTTCGCTGCGCGAGCGGACGAGACTGGGACAGACCCTGGGGGGTTTCGTCGTGTCAAATCGGTTTTATAAGCCAGCCCCAGGAATCACAAAGGGGTGCCGAACTTGGAGGATAGGGTGGCCCATTATCATCCATTATCCACTCACTTGGGGACCAAAAAGCACCCTTTGTGACTCCTGGTGTAATATAACAACGGTTGTTTGGGATTCAGCCGTAAAGTTATGAAATTAATGGTGTGCTCAAGTTTGGCGACCATGGCCTGCTCCTGCTCAAGCAGGAGTAGCTGACTACCCAGGCAGTGAAGTTGAACTTGCACTATGCGGCTGCCAGATATGCCGATGAAGTCTTGAAAGAGGCAGACCCGGCGGGTTCTTTTAGCAGCTGTGGATCTGCTTGGAACTTTGGGGGGCTGAAAAGGGGGCGGATTCCAGGAGAAAATGCCCGAAGCAGCCAGTTGAGGTGGGTTCATGCATTCAAAAGTGGAATTTTCCGAAAACGTGGGGAATATTGTTTGGCCAATTCCTGGAATCCGCATACCAAGCTGCGCCTCCAGAAAAGCCGCTGCTGTTCGAGTTCCTCACAGGATCCGAAGAACATTAAGGCGCTGTACAGACACGCTCAAGGACCTGGGGGGAGGGGAACAAGCGGTGGTGCGAGTCGGTGCGAGTGCTAGAATTGAAGGAAGAATTCATGAAGATCTGGTGTGTTATTGTGGGTGTTGTTTGCTTGATGATTGTTTTTATGCGAAAGCGACTTCCAAACGAGTTCCACACGCAGGGTCCGGGTTGCTGCGAGGATCTTTGGGTGCCAATGACTTCGAGGTGGCCGCCAAGGATTGCAAGAAGATCTTGGAGCTGGAGCCCAGCAACAAGGTCAGCGAAACAAACCGGGACTGGAAACGAGTCTAACCAACCACCAGGACCCGCAAGGGGTTGTGAATGAACACCCCTTATAACCTCCAAGGAGCTATCAATAGAACCCCCTTAGGGTGTCCTGGTATATACTTTCAAGTGCTCACCCGCCCTCACTTTTCTGGGATTACGCACCTTACGGGCGATGTGTTTCTCTCTCAGATTCCAGATCTGGAAGTCTGTTGCCCAAGCTTGTGGAGGGAAACCATGCATTAAGGCATTAAGGGAAACCATCCATTAAGGGAATCCATCCGTTAATGGTTTTTGCTTGTGGAGTTGTTGGAACTCATGAGCTGAAGCGTCTCCCGCATCGACCCCTGCAGGTTCATCAACAAACTTCATGCCCTCGGAGCATTGAGATGGATGGTGATACTGTAAGATACCGTAACGTCTGACATGATCACAGATTCAATAAACAGTGAGCCTGTCCTGTCTGTATCATATACTGTAAATTAGTGGTGGTGTCCACTTCCCACTGAAAGCGCCTGTTTTGGGGGTGTATGTTGAGGATTCACCCTTCCATATCCTTCGGCCACGGCAGAATGATGTGGCTCTAGAGATGAACGCATGGAGAGACGGAGCCGATAGATTCAGAACAAGGACCTCTCATGACCTCTCAACATCTCCGGGGCTCACGAAACAGTCACGCCGTACTTTTTGAGCACTGCGCATGCGAGTGGAAGATCATTAAGAGCCAACTCTGTTCCTTTCGGTGCTCAGCTTGGCTGAATCACCACATCACCTTGCTCGACCCCCCCCCGCCAGCTCCAGGAAGCAGGGCTTCTCTTGCGCAAGGTGAAGCAGACCGAGAAGGCCTGGGGCGAGTGTCGTCGTCGAGGACAGTGGGGATGGACCTCCAAGACCGGAAATCGGCAGAAGGGAGATGGCTGTGCGGTCAAGAGCCCTAAGCCCTAAGCTTGACCCCCTGGCCCTATATATTGATCCCTATAGTATTATAGTACTATATAAGTCAATTCTGTTCATTTTGGGCGTGGGAAAATCCAGAACCTGGCGGACCTAGGGTGGTATGGTTTTACCGAGCATCATTTGATATTTATGAGATAAAGAGGAAAGGTTGGGAAGTGTTCAACCTATTTCAAGGCATTGCAGGTTTTGGAGGGGCAAGACCTTGCTTTGCAACTTTGAGTGCCCAGATTCTGGAGAAAACCTGAGATAAAAGAATTTCAAAGACATCAAGGACGTCAGGTCATCAAAAAAATACCAGTGCTCAAATGAGGTCCAGGACCAGGTTTTACTTGGTCCAACTGGACTGGTATGGTTACATGACTTACGTTCTTTTCTTCCCCGTTTCTTTCAGCACGTGGCCGCTAAGCAGCCGACGCATAGACAGCGACCTGCGACCTGCTCATGCGACCTTCGACCCCGACTCAGCCGGGGAATGGCACTTGGAATGTCCACTTTGATGATGTGCCGGCGCTCATTTGCAGCATGATCTAACCAACAGAGAGGTTGAAGAACCCGAACTAGGCTATCCCAGTTGGGTACCCTGGTAGGGTCCTAGTTACGGTCACTTAACCTTTGTTGCTTGTAGCTTGTCACCTTGTCCGATGCTTTCAGCAGTTGGTTTAGGGGCACCGTGCAGGAGCAGGACAAGGCCCAACGCGAGCAGTTCGGTGCTTCCCTTGGCCGCAAGTTGATCTGAGTATGGAACCACCGGCGGCGGGGCAGCTGGTGCGGCCGTGAATTCATCTCTGCCATGGCGATGGACGATGGCAACTGGTCTAAACATCTCACTTGGAACAATCCTGTGCCCCAAAACAGAACTTTGCAATTTGTCCAGCACGCTCATCATAAGCCTTCATGAGTGTTTGCTAGATGCTGTAACCATCTAGCAAAGTACCGCGGAGAGTGTAGCACAACCACAACCTCGACCACCCGGTCGCAGGCAGAACGTGGCGCCAGCCTGTCGCCCCGCAGCCCGCGTCGTTCAGCAGGCATCGGGCCGTTTGGCCACCACAAAGACCCGTGCACAAAGACGAACATGAGAGCGCAGAAACCGGCGCGGTGCGGGAGGAAGGAGGTTGGACATGGGAGGCAGGAACCTTATAAGAGCATTTTTTTGGGGGGGTTAAGGGGGTTAAGGGGGATGACAAGAGTGAATGAAGTACCAGCATACCTTCGAAGGTACGGACCCTCCAAACATCTCTACTGTACTAACGAAAGTGGTCGAACACATCACCCTAGGCCCTGAGGCAAGTCCGGTGCTTCCCCAGTGCTCAAGTCCGGTGCCCAGAAAAAGACGTTCCCAACTCCCAGACTGCCAGCCGTCCGGTGCCTGCCATCCTCTGGGAGTCCCATTCGTCTTCGTCTTCGTGGACCTTGGGACTCTTTGGATCGAACACCGGCTCGCGAATTCGAGAGAGTCCTGGACCCGGAGCCAGTGACCAGGTCGGAGCCGGTAGCTACCTGGGGTACCTAGCTCTGGGATATATATGTCTATACGAGGACCCACAAGGGGTGGTTGATGGACACCCCGAATCACCTCTAAGGGGCTATCAATCGAAGCCCCTTAGGGTGTCCTGGTATAGGGTCCTTCAACCTCTGCTGGACTGTCTGAACTCTTCCGGTGAAGGGTCACGCCGTCGAACAACCTCCAGGGCGGTGTAACACAACCTCCGAGCGGTGTATACACGCAAGAATTGACATGGATCGTGAGAAGTTTTTTTTTTTTTTAATTTTTTTTACGGTTTTGACCATTTTACGAATACCAACCTAGTGGGTTTTGGGGTTCTATGTCAATCTGCAGGGGAATACGTCTTAAAAAGGAAAAAGTCCAGACATTTGGTCGAACATCCACGCAGGGGCCACCCTGAACCCGAACCAACTGGCCGAGGTTGCATGGGACGGTTGTCAGATCAGCAAGTTTCAGGCGAAGCCGATAGTGATAGTCTTTGTTTTCACAAATTGACAAAGGCCCATGGGAACGTCATAGCTAGGGTTTTGACCCTCACAACTTGGGTGGAAAGGACAGAAGCAACATGTAGCAATTGCTTGGAGTTTTTTGGGATGTCTTTGGGCGGGAAAACTCCTCCGGAACAAGTTCAAAATAACTTCATTCATTCATTGATGCCGAAAATCTCTCCAGCATTGTGCAATGCACCTTTCTTGGTTTGAAGAACGCAGCATAGCGCGGCATCGGCTTCCCCCATCTTCCCAACAGAGTTTGATGTGCTCTTTGCCTTTGCTTCCATTAGAGAATGCTTCGTAAGGACCCAGCAACCAAACTTGCAGGCGTATACCGTATGTGCAGTTCAGCTTTGTTCAGCTGCTCCGCAATCAGCTTTTTCCGAGTTCAAAAGTCAAGTGGATGACAAGATGCTAATATATTATGTTAATGGCATGTATGCATGTATGCTCACCGTGGCGCGGTGAAGACACTAAGTTCACACTGCTTACTTGTTTTGCATCGTACGCGTCTCTGCTACAGCATCCTGTTGCCCAAAACCACTTCCCACATCAGAAAAAGCATCCATCAATGTGTGCATTCCCTGAGTCAGAAGCAGCAAAGCCTTCATGTTTGTGAGAGGAGATCGTATACACACGCATGTTCACTGAAGATGAAGTGCAGGGACACGTGAGGGGTCCAGGGATTGCTTGAAGAATGTCTACAGTGGGCGACTGGAGGCACTCGACAACTTTCTCATATAGTAAAATCCTTAGTAAAACATATTTGCCTAAACAATGGTGGTCAGAAATCGCCAGGGAATATATACTGCGATTTGGAAGTGTCCTATTACCTGTCACAGTCGGGAACAAGTATCACCATCATCTACAGGGAATGGGATATATACTGTACCCTATACGTCCCTATACAAGAAGGCTCGAAGGTTATTTAATGGAACCCCTTCTCAGCTGCAAGATCTAC